AGTTATGAGTGGCCGAGCCCTCTTGTCTCTTAAAGGAGGTCATTCCAAAAAGCTTACTATTTTGTCTCCACACATAGCAAGTAAACACTGGGTTTTTCCACTCACCGAAGTTTCAGCCTAGAGCTAAAGTGCCTGCTATCCTGAAGAAATTCATTTCGGAAGAAGCCCAAAATTCAACTTTGGACGCCGCCATTTTGAAACTGTACTTGGCAGCCAGGCCGTGTTTATGTGACGTCCTTCTATCCAACTCGAAATTCACAGTAAGCAGAAAAACCTGTAACCGACTGGTCATCCAACTGTATTTTTTCCAACCGATTATCCAATTCACTGTCTTCAATGCTATCATTTTCCGAGCTTGGAGCACATTTGGCTCGAAATAATGTGGCTCAAGAGTAGCCATAACCTAGAGTGGTAGTTAAAAGGCTTATCGGAAGCCATGGACAAAATCAATAGGACGGAATGACGTAACGAAAACGCGGCCTGGCTGCTGAGTACTGTTTAAAATGGTGGCTACGATGTCAAATTTTGGGTTTCTTTGGGGACGAATTTCACAAGGAAAACCTGCACTTTAGAGCTTAATGGGAGATTTCTATTCGCATTGACAAAAAAAAAAAAAACCGTTTCTTGGAGTGACCTCCTACTTTAAGAGGCGGAAATTTAGGAATCTCTGCCCCACAGGGTAGTCTTAACTCCCTCATCCCAAAAATAGCTTTGAATGAGCACGACTCACCAGCTGTATTCAGAGCAGAGGCATAAGAATGTTGAGATTCCAGTTCCATGTTTTCAAAGTCTTTCAATGATTGCTCAATCGCCAGATCCTCCCTCTCATCAACTATATCTTTATGCTCAGGGATGCTGGCTGCCACTCTCTGTTGATGGACCACCTCCTGAGTCGGCGCGTGAGAAGGTACCGTTGTAACATGGTTTACCCCACCGACATTATGATTAAACACCGCTTGATTTCCAGCACCATCCGAAACTATATTAGCTGGAACACTTGCAGCCGGGGTCTGCAGGAAGGCTCCATATACATTGGCAGCGTACTCTGGATACTGACTTAAATTGGACCACATTTGTGCAGCAGTATAAGGGTCCACCTGCTGTGTACCGTAGGAAGCAGTGACCTGAGCTGAAGATAGGGCCCCACTATGGACCTCATTTAGTTTTAAGTTATATTCACCGCTGGCCAAGGCGGCGTAGTGATTAAGTAACTCTTGCTGACTGTTCATGTCTGCCATGTTGTTAAGAATTCTGTTATAGTCGGCAGCAGTAATGAAAATATCATCAGTCTGTATACTTGCATCAATGGCTTCCAAAGAGGTCTGTGAGGCTTTATCTGCCGTTGCAACCTTTGTGGGATTCTTAAATTGTTCTAATGTGGCAAGGGAAAAACAGTATATGCATAAAAATGAATTGTTAGCAGTTCTGTTTGGACCTGTGAGCAAAGAGATGCTTGAAGGGAAACTAGTAAGACATGGCCCTTCTTCTAGATCCATTCAGCATGCCAAGAAAGTAGTGTCTGAAAGCCCGGGGCTCGTGGAGTCTGTCCTTTGCTTGCCTGATGAGCAAGTAAAGTTTTCAGGCAAAATGTTTTTTTTTTTTTTTGAAGTACAGTTGAATCCCTCCATTTCCAACTCTCCAGGGAAACAAAAAATAGTTTGAAATAGCCCACAATAAACGACTGCAGGGTAAATCTAAGCGAAATGGTTTTGTGTTCAGAATAAAGATAAATTCCAATTAACCGAGTTTGAATTAGAGGGAATTAACTGTACTATAATTTGGGCGGGCTAATAACGTCGGGCTAGAACACCATTAAAGCTTGCCCAAGGGGTAAGCCGCAAAATTGATTTTCTCAGTCCCTTAGTCATTGATGTAAAATACCTGTTACTATTTTTAGCGACTGCTTATTGACTACTTTTATTGTTACTACATGCAATTTCATCAGCAATTTAATTGTACAAAAATGCCATGGGCTTTCATGTACATCTGATCTGATTAATGCTGATCTGATTTACAATCTGCATCAACCAATGGGTAGTCCCACAATCAGCAAATACAGGTAGTTTGGGATTTAATGCCAATTGCACAATGATACTGAACAGCACCAGATCACAGCAAAATGTCAAACAAACAGTTTGGCATACATTTGTTTGCAACACAGCACAAAGCAACAGCAGAAAGCGCTTACAATATGTTTTCTATCTGATGTATGATTCAGAGAAAGAGAGCCATAACCATGTATTAACTGACCTTCAGGGCTGACATAAAAAGATTTTGTACATGTAAGCAGGGTTTTAATTTCAGCAGGCCTTTAATTGTGCAATTGTATGCAATTTCAAATGTCAGAGAAATGTAAGGCCCACTAAAAAGTTAACAATAATTCATCCATTAAATAATTCAGGAGTTAGCTTATAAGAAGCCATATCTACTGTACTGATATCCTGCAATATCAGGTCACTGATCTGATATGAATGCGACATCATGGTCACTTGCCTGAATTATTTTCAATTGGGTACGGTAAATACCTAAATCATACCATTCTTGGTACCCTTTGGAAGAATACCAGACTCACTTGTTCTAATCATGGGTAATTTTGGTTCCACTGTATCTTGCCAAAATATGAACCATGGCTCATCCAAACTTGCCTGACATACTGCCGAAGTGCACCAAAAAGGTATGATTATGTATATTTACACAAATGGTACAAGACCCATGTTTCGTGGAACCTGGTTTTTGGTCAGTTTAGGAGTAAATGGGTGACAAGTTTTACTCACCTTGATTAGAATAACGTTTACTCCATGATTTCATTATCGGAATACATCTTCCAAGAGGAATTCCTACTTCCTGAAATGAGACAAATAGCAAATTACAATTTGCTGTTTTCCATAGCATTAACTGACTAGGAGTATTTCTACTCCCCCTGGATGGGGGAGGGTCCAGGGGATGGGGAAGTCTGGCATCCATGTCCATTGGAGAGTCACCCTCCCCACCCTACCCCCCTCCCCTGCATTAAATTTGCTAGTCCCCATAAATTTAAATACACTTGGATGGAGAGAGGCACTGTGAGAGAAAAGTGAGGAGCCCAGACAGCTTGATCCAGAGTCTGGCGTACTTCTATTAGGACACCGTGCCTCCACCTACATGTAATTAATTAACCCATCAGAAAATAATTATTTGAAAGATTCTCATTTTCAAAAACTGTCACAAAAAGTAGCAAAGAGCAGATTAGTATACACTAAATATTAATTTCACAACTGACGTGAAATGGATGGTATGTCTCACATACTAATACTACAATTCTAACAGCCATACCCTGAGGATTTGTTTAAGTTCATCTTCTGTTTCAACATAGCTGAGTGTCTGGTCCTATACAAACAAATGAAACACAATAAATTCAATTTTAAAAGCGTACTGTAAATCCTTAAATTTGCAGTGTACTGATTACGTACAGTTTCATTGACTAAGTGGTGCATGCACAGCCATGAGATGAATCAAAGAGCATTTACATGTATCTGTCTGAAGTCACGAAAACAGGAAAACCACATTTTAGACTTGTCTGATAGCTGGTCTGATTATATTCATATCCATTAAATGATGAAAAAACAAGGTCAAGTATAAACAATTTGCTTATAAAATGTTGTTGTTTATAGTGGTCATTGTGCTTAGAGCTACACCCAGCTAGTTCACAGGAATGCCACTTAAAATGGCAGAAACAAAATAATATATGAACTACTGTAAACATAATAGGCTTAAAAATCCCAACTGGAGGGAGGCAGACACCATGAAACAACTGACCAGTTAAGTGCTCAGAGTAAGACTTGAAGTATTGAACCTGCAACCTCCAGATTTCAAATCTGGCCATCTAACCACTCGGCCACACTGCCTTATAATTTAATATTTATTAATTTATCCCTTCATACAGACACAGGGTATGCCTGTACATACAAATCAGAGCTCAAACCCTACAATTAAATATGCTGGCCCACTGTACTGTATATGCTAGATTTTGCTGGCCAAAACAACGTTTTAACCAGCAAGATTTTCTACTTGTCAGGTTTTGGTACAGTATTTTTGCTTTCCTCATTATGGCTCACAACATCTGATATTGAATCTCTAAGTACTAACTTCTTTGGCTAGTGAAAAGCAACCATTCTTAAACTATCTGACGAAATATCAATTAAGCATTAAACTGTTTACAGGGCTTTCATTAACATTTTCAGCAGGAAGGCAAAACATTTTGTACTGAACATTCAAACTTCTTTATAAGAAAAACTTTCCTCTGGATGGTCAAACCAGGCGAGCAAAATCATTTTCACAGCTGCTCAATTTGCCCAGTGCCTGGTCCTTAATGAATCCCTACCATTAGTTTACATTTGCCAGTGTGAATACACTGGGCAGGAAAAAACCCAGGTTTGGTTGCCCTGGGCAAGTAAATTTTGCTCTTGGGCAGGTAAAAATGGAAGTTTGGTGGGCAAGTGGGCAAGTGGGCAAGTGTTCAAAATTTACCTCAGTCAGTATTCTAATGTAAGTGATAACTTCCAATCAAAGCAATTTCAAAACTTGAGACTACAAGATGAGCAAAACAATGAGTTGAAAGCGTGGATTAATTTAAAATCCAAGCATATTTTGCTTGCATTCATCCTCTGTTATAGTCTATCACTGATCATAGACAATACAACTAATAATAATATAACAATTATAATATTAAAAATTTTTACAGCACAGTTTTCTATGAAATGACCAAGTGCCCTTTACATGTACATCATACATGAACACAGTAGCTGGTAAGTGATCTAGTTGTATCTGTTGAGCAAGTACATGACTGATGATATTTTAGTGGGGGCAACTGAAAACTGAAATGTACATGTACATGAACTGTACCACTGGGCAACTGGATTTCAAAATTTGTTTCCTGCCGTGATACAAAAACTGAACAAAATGAAAAATGACTTTAGCTAACTAAAGGTAAATATCTCAAGTCTATTTAATTTTACATCCCCAAGTTCAGTTTCATCCCAGATCTGATGAGATGTAGAGAGACATGTTTTTAAAAAATACTGTATGAAAACCTGACTAGTAGAAAGTTACCTTAGTAGTTAGTCAAAAATTGCCGTGGACAATTCGTTGCTAGGGTTAAGAAGATGAGTGTGTTAGAAAAGGTAGTCCCAAACCCACATCAGTTTAATTTTTGGTCAAACATTTTTTTGTAAAGCTTACAAATTAGTAATAGTAATTGGACCGATTGCAGTACAATTCAGAGAGTAATTGCACATCAAGTAATTTCAAATCAGATGAGTGCAAGGCACGAAGCTGATTTGAATTTACGAGCACGATTACTCCCTGAATTGTGTAACACAAGGTCCAATATTATTACTAATGAATCGTGATCTATAACAAATTTTGGAATTAAAAATGTCTTTAGAGAACTTCTTTGGAGCGAAAACATTTGTAGGACTTTTCACATTTGTAGCAAACATTGCATAGGACGCCATTATTTTAGCATGCGTAACTGTTATGCAAATCACGTGGGTATCCAATTACAAAAAGTTCAGATTGGATAGTCCTGCAATTGGACACCCACTTGATTGCATGCTGATTATGTGACAAAATTAATAGGCACGTTGAGAACCAATTGTGATCAAGAATTTTGTTGTAGATACGATAATTATCAGAAACATATTTCTTAATACCTGAATACAATGTTCCTGAAAAGTCAGTTTTAAGTCTGCCATTCCGAGATCATCCAGTACTCTGAACACCTCCTGATATAACTCAACATTTGGAGCATGGGGCTGTCTGTTATGGTAAGAATTAGACTGCATCTTCTGCAAATTGTTAGAAAGGCACAAGAGTCAAATGATCAAGAGGTAATGTAAGGTTTTAAATTAATAGAAAGTGTACAACTGAGAAACTACATGCAACCAGGATAATTTGAAGTTTTCTCGTGCAGCTTTATAACAATCCATCTCTCTCCTCAGCAGAGGTTCCCTAGGGGAGAGGGAGGGCTCCCTAGGGGAGAGTGAGGAGGGAGGTCCATTATTCCCACCAGCCTACACAGTCAATGCAGCACAAAAGAGGCCTCTGCTAGACTGCTTGTAGTCTGCTTTTCTTTCAAAATTCAGCAGGAGTTATGAGGGGAGACACTATAGCCTACAGGGGAATCTGACGAGACATGGTTGCGGCAGACACAAGAAGAGGAGGAGGCGGAGGAGAGAGATGATCTGTTATCTTTGGAATCCTCATAGTCCCACCTCTGACCCTGAGTGGAACAAGCTCCTTTGTATATCCCTCCTCAAGAACATCAAATCTGACAAATCCGTCTGTACAATATTCACAAAAAAATACACTGTGAAAAGCTAAGTTCCACAAATACAGGTGTACATGTAACAAACAATCCTTTAATTATTACCATTAATTTATTCACTAGCTATAATTTCAACAGTTCTCACAATATACATCTACATGTAAATGGAACAGGATTTTCTATTGAAACAAGCTTTGACTTGTAATTAAACCATTGGCACAAAAATCTAAATAATCAGAAGATTACAAAAGGCCCTTTAATGTAAGTGTTACAATTTGTAAAATGTGATTTACTTATCTAAGAAAATCATAGGAGCTCTTGTGAAATTACAAGTAACGTGATTGTGCATCAAGAACAAATAACAATTTGGACCTTAGGTTAGTGTTCATGAAGATATTGTTCAATCAGTAAGAAACTTCCAATGAAAGAGCTCATGACATATTACACCAAGAAATTTAATTTCATTAGTATTGTAGAAGTAAGCTTAATTATTTTCTAGGTTCGTGAGCAGGCGGAATTCAACAAATCCTGCAATCTAATTGGTTCTAGGAGCAGGTGGAATTTTCTTATCCAGCCCACTCATGGCAGGCAGAATCGTTGTGTTGATCTATTTTCATGAACAAACTAGTGGTAGTCGTCAAGTTTTTGCCTTTTTACACTTCCGTTAGCAAGGAAAGTCACTGCATTTATAAATTTAACAGAGTGTTTTGAAGTTGTGAGAGTTTGTCTGGTTGTTTGTACAATGTAGCTTGGTACTGTAATGACACATAATCCTGCATCTTTCTCCTTGTTCAATTTTGAGTGAAAAATGAGTCAATTTCAGTTGAGTTTACCTCTCTGATCGTTGCTGTATTCAAGAGAATATATGTGCAAGACATTTAACGAATTTCCTTGCTTTCTGCTATTCAATTTACAGCAGAAAAGTCTGATTTCAAGTGATTAGCAATGACTGACAGAAATCATTTTTTAGTACAACTCCAAACTTTGCAAAAAAATTTCACACCAGAAAAACAATTATTTTGGAGAACTTAACTGGTGAATTAAATAACTCTAACATACAGTAGTTAAGAATAAATCTGTTCTTTAGTACATTTTTCTGTGTTTAGTATCTGAGTTACTCGCTTGTTGTGAAGATTTGTTCACAAATCGTTAGTAGGGAGCACTTAAGCAGATTCAGTGACAACGTGGTATAAACAAACCCATTTGTAATTAAAAGCAATTTACTGCAGGAAAAAATTAACATGAACAATTTGCCAGCCTAGGTCGGTCTGTATTAGGAAAAACTGTGCCCTCTGTCTTGAGTATGGCCTGTGTGGCCTGCAGCCTCAGGCCATACTCAAGACCTTGGGCACAATTTTTCCCAATACAGACCTCCAGTCCTGTCGGCAAATAACATATATTTACTTTCTTAGCTTTCTATCTTATTCATCAACTTCTAATGTACCATGTAATGATCTTGTAATGCAATATCTTCCATTTAATTTTTTTTTCGGAACCGATAAAGATTCACGGTATTGTTGTTGTTGTTGCTGTTGATGTTATTGTCTTACACCTGTAAGTGTTGGTAATGGTGTAGTATTTATAATGATAATTGAAATCTCTCCACAATAACAGACATACAACAGAGAGTACAAAATTACCAACATATAAATAAAAAAGCTTTGCTTAGAGTAAGCGTAGATAAAAAGGCAGATCCTCGTCACAGAATTGATGGCATGTGCTTTATACTGCACGCTAGAATTAACTTTAATTGGATCAGTACATGTCTGCCCGAGAAAGGCTGTTTATAACGGGGCTGATTATATCAATTCTCCTTCCAGGTAAACTTTCTAACATTCGCTTAGTTCACTGAGTCTCCAAAGGCAAAAAATAACCAAAACAAAATCACTGGCTCGGGTAATAACCACTTCCTGTATATTAAATCGTTAATCGAGCTATTGAAAATCGAGAAGTTAAGATTTTGTTCGAGCGAGATGGGTCCAATTTAAACCTTTCTTCACCCAGCTACCAAAATCTATTACTCACCGTTTGAGGACAGAAGCTTTTCGCGTGTCTTTTGATATTTGGATCGTGAAAATTCGGTGTTATGGCCGTGAAATTCTTCCCTTGGGTGAAAAGGAAAGCGTTCTTTCGCTAAGTGTGCGCCGCCATATTCCAAAATCGTCTGGGAGGAGAATGGTAACTAGCCAAGCCGCTGACATGATGCGGGCATATGCGTTCTTGGTTCTCCTTCAGGGTTACGCTTCAGCGTGGCCTTTCAATTTTTGCGGCGTAGCGGCGTGCAATTGGAGTTTTAACTTCTCGTTATAACCCATATAGAGTATTGTACCCTGATCGATAACGGGTATCGTGCACGATCCATTTGAGACCAAACTTTGCCAGCGAACAGATCGGTTTGGGACTTTGGTCGTTTGCCGGGGGCGTGGCGTGGAACTCAAAAAACCTTCGGCGTGGAAGTGTTGCGAAATGCATCCTGGAACCGGCTTGGGCGTTAGTGAATACCGCTTTCTTGGAAAAACCTGTTTGCCGGTAGAACCCAGTTGTAAAGGTTTACCATAAACCAAGAGAGGCTTCACTCCTATAGAGACCGAACGTTTTAAAACCACCATCTAAGGTTTTTAAAACGGCGGTCTGCAGTTCTGTCAGACGAAAGGTTCCGAAAGTTTCACTGGAAATAGCCTGTGGACAGGCTCTCTATTTAAGGATGTGGCGAAGAGCTAGAGAAAGCGAGAAGAAAGAGGAGAGAAGAGCCCGATCACTCCACATCCCAATCCCTCTCGGCCACTTCGCTATCTGCCAGTTCCTGCTCGGCACTTCCAGCCGCAGCCAGACCCTTCCAGCCAGAGCCCGGAGCCTACACTGGAACAAACCTGCTGAAAAACTCCCCCAGTTGTTATGATCAGAATCCTGCGATCTATTAAGGATTTGAGATTTAGTTCATCGAAACAATGAGACATTGTTGAAGATGGGGAGGTCCCCTCCCACGTGATACAAAAATTGCCCGACACGACAACAGCAACAGTCACCTATCCTTACAAGAGGGTCTTGATGAGGGGGACGGGGGATGGGTGGGGAGGGGCTACTTTCAATGACGGTTTTTGACGGTTGACGGTTAAATTTTCGGTTGACTCTCTAGGTGGTATGCGATATAAGGCAAGGGAAAGTATATCCCGGGGGCAGGGTACTCTCTCATGATATATACTGGCCTATATGGGGAGGCTCCACTCGAGAGGTGTTCCTTTCTCTGGCTTCACACATACACACTTAATTTAGACTCGGTAAAAACATCAGCTACAAGATTAAGATTTAAATAAAAAACTAATTTACATGTTTGCCGCGTGGGAGTACGAGGAGGACAGTTGGCGATTTATCTCATTTCTAAAGTTAATAAAAGACCTAATGGCTCTGACGTTAAATAGAAGGCTATTCCACAAATGTGCCCCACTGTAGCAGAAAGTAGGTTTTGAAAACTCGGTACAGGGTTTAGGCAGAGCCAATTTGTTTTCAATATTTCTGAGTCCATAGTCCGTGCTGAATGGTTTAAATAGGCTTTTCAGGTACTCCGGAGACTGATCATTTAAAGTTTTAAACATTAATTTTAATTTTTGCTTTTCCCTTTTAATATAGAGATTATCAAGCATCCTAGCTTACCGCTGAGGGAGGTAGCGCTAGAATAGTAAATATTAGGAAATACTGAATATTTCGGACAGACGCAAGTTATGGCAGTGTCATTTAATTTATTTGCACTACATGAAAATGACAAGAGACTAATAAGACTCAGATTCATAAGACGGGCCGGTTACAGCAGTTACAGTGTTCTTAAGTACTGAGGTAAGTGAAGGGGGTACGTTTCTAATAAAAGGCATACAAAAGAGGAATCTTTTCGGTAAAAATGGTGTATAAAAGGGTGAGGGGGAGGAGCCTCCCCGTAAAAAAAATTAGTTTAGTACCCCCCTCCCGCGGGAGTAGATCGCGCTTAATCATTGAAAGATGGGGACCCTGAGCTCCAAGCCCTGAGGGAGGACGGGGGGTCTTCGATGTGAACACAGGTTTAACGTGGTATGGATGCTAGTGGGGAAATTGAATTAAATCGCCTGGAAAGAAACTATTCATTGAGGTGGCCCAAGCTTTCTTGGACAGAAAGAGAATTCGAGCGAAAGAGAATTCAAAGATTTCATTACAGATCTCTCGAAACCATCCATACTGTATGAAAGTTAAGCGTACAACTTCATCTCTAAAATCTAATGATAAACCAACGAACTGAAAAAAAAACCTCCTGTAGTAACAAAATAATCCTATTTTACAGTTAGTTATTTTTGTATTCATTTAACTATTGAATAACGAAGTGATGTTTATAAAATTGTATGGTTCAAATGACGTGAATGTATAGTTTTATGTTACTTTAAGCTTTCTTTGAAAGCGTGAACGAAGCAAGATAGTTTAAATTTTCGAGAAGATAAAATACAGCGTTTAGCACTGAAGTGAAAAAAAGCCAATTAAAATATCCATTAGAAAAGAAAAAACTACATTAAAAAAGCTGATTTGTAACCGGGTGGTTGCATGATAAATATAAAAATGTTACACCGGTTGAGAAAAGCTAGTGAAAATCTTTAAAAGCCCAACGTTTCGGCTATTAACATAAGCCTTCTTCAGGGATAATAAAAATATAATGAAGTGACGAGTTTATTTCAGTTCGCGTACGTACTTGGTAATAAAAACTGAATATATTAGGAAATTAGTTCTTATCCAATAGAGTCAAGGCTCAATTAGTATATACACTCTTCCGAAGATGGCACATAAATACGATAAGCAACGGGGATAGAGTTTGTGACACCAAAATATCAACTTCTTTGCCAGGCTCTCAATCGACAAGGGAGGCAATGGAGAGAGAGCCTGGGATCGACATTGCAAACATACATGTATCACGGAGACTGTGACGTCAGTTTGTTGATCAGCCATAACATTTCTTACTTGACATCTTGAGCGCAGTGAAACGTTTTGTTTCAAAAACTCCGCACGGTTAATAAAAGTCGTTGTCTAGACTGCTCGGTAGGTCCGTTACATTTATTATTTACACCCACTGCTCATCTTCCATGGGCTGTTTTGACACAAGATCTAATCTGCTTCCCTGTCTTTCCTCATAGGCTGCAATTTTTAATTAAAATAATATAAATAGAAGAATATTGAAGCTGAGAATTAAGAGGCTAAGGTTATATGGACATGCGTGGATAATTAGGGGAAAAGTTTATTTTTCCATTTGAAAAAGGATATAGCCAAACAGAAAATTGCAAATCTCATAGTAGTGAGGTAAGTTTGAGTTTGCGCACTTTTCGTAGGAGGGAAGGAAGAGGGTGGGGG